AAAAAAAAAAAAATCATAAACTGTCCAGGTGATCTGACTGAACATTTTTGGATTTCTACTTGGATTACTGAGCATGAACATTGGCACTACTATCAGTATTGGACAGCCTTTCACTACTTTTAATTTGGTGTTTGTCACTTTTAACTAGCCTTTAACTTAGTCAGTATTTTTCTCTTTCTAGCTTATAGTTAGCATTTAGCTATTTAACCTAATGTGCCTTTAGCTTTATTGCCTCAGTTTCTGTTTCTTTAGCAGACAACTCATTGGGCCTTCAGCAGTCACACTGTCTTTCTGCAGAACTTGTGTTGGTTCTCTTGTGACAAATCAATAAAAACATCTGGAACAACTGAAAGTGACATGTGGAGATACTGACCCAGAAAATCAGGTTGAAGACAAACATCAAGTATTTCACACAGCATAAACACCTCCGAGATGTCGACATCCTAGAAAAAGAAAATAAAATCTTTATAAACAAGTTCTCATGTCACTGGCTACTTTCATCCAGTTAGAGACAGAACACGTCCATTTTCCAGGTTTGTCCTTCCAGAAACAGTAGAATATGTTTGTAGGTTTGCCCACTTCCAAAGTAATGAACAGTCTGTAATTATTAAAGTGGTCTCGTTTTAATCCATCCATCCAGCCTACAGCTGTCATTCCTAACTTGAACCTGGAGCTCGACCCCGCCCAACCCGAATTTGGACCAGACCGGGCCATTATAATATGCTTAATGTGTGGGTTGGGTCAGTGTTGGGCTTTTTATTGCGTCAGGAATGTGTGCGGCCGACGATCCAATATATGCAAACATGGCTTGCCATACCCACCTGTTGCATGTGGCCGTTTGACGGCGTGCTGACCAATTCAGTTTATTTTTCAATTCAGTTTATTTATATAGCGCCAAATCACAACAAAGTTGTCTCAGGGCACTTTACAGAAACATTCACATAAAAGTGTAGGGACACATCAAGGTTTTTCTACCATTAAACTTGTATTCTTTTGATACTTTGACAGTAAGGCTGACTCTCATTCCCAAAGCTGGACAGTAAGGAACCACATGATATCATATAAGATGAATAACAAAAAATCTGTTATTGTAATTAATTGCACACCTGGTGTTAGGATTTCAGCAAAGCTGAAAGGCCTTTTTGTATGAGAACCTTTCCATCTGACCTGTGAAATATAACATCTAAAACGTACGCTTATCTCTTCCTAAAGGGAGGATTCATCCTCCAGTCTTAGAGTGTGAGAAAGACCCCATTGTTTTCAAGGACTCTTCTTTCTATCTCACAGTAGAAATCTTTTTTTTAACAAGTTAAATTTCTGAGTTCTCCTGAACACAATTGAATGTTTTGCTGTAAAAACGGTTAAGTTTACTTACTTTCTCAGCTCAATACTCAGTAATCATGCATAAAGGAAAGTTGATATGAAACTGGTGTTCAGAAGTTACAACTGTGTGCCTAAGTTCTAATGAAAACGTTTATGCATGAGTAAAAAGTTGCTTAGAAGTTTGATTATTCTGTTATATTGAGAATTTACCAAAGCAGAGTCAATTAGCCATTTAATATTTTTATTAAGGTTATTAAAGTTCAACAATAAGTTGAAAGAAGGTCCACCCTTCTGTCGTGATTGGCTAGACCATCACATTGTAACGCCTCTAAGTAAAAGAAATTTATTTTCTGACGTTTGACTTAGAACAGTCTGGAAGAATCTTTTGAAGAAGTAAGGTCAAACAACTGGTTATTTATTGCCAGAAGATCTTTGCCACCAGAAGGAGAAACGCAGCACTCTGGGAGCTCATCAACTGACCTCCCTCGGGAGCCACCTTTGACTCTAGATTTCAGCTGATTTCCAGTGGTGAGGGAAATCCCACCTTCGGCGCTCCAACTCATCTCAAGAGTCCTGGTAACCCTCCGGGCGGTTGAATTGCAGACCACCTTCTAATCGGTAGGAAAAAGCTACTCCGTTTTCTGCTGGTGTCTGATGCCCAAGATAAGAAGTTGT